GGTTATAGTTACCAGGGTGATATTCTAGGCTTAACATTCATCTTTAATAATAGTTATCATCAGTGTGATATTCTAGGTTTAGCATCCATCTTTAGTTATAGTTATCTTATCAGTGTGATATTCCAGGCTTAGCATCCATCTTTGGTTATAGTTACCAGGGTGATATTCTAGACTTAACATTCATCTTTAATAATAGTTATCATCAGTGTGATATTCTAGGCTTAGCATCCATCTTTAGTTATAGTTATCTTATCAGTGTGATATTCCAGGCTTAGCATCCATCTTTGGTTATAGTTATCAGGGTGATATTCCAGGCTTATCATCCACCTTTAGTTATAGTTATCTATTGCTGTTCCTGACTTTTCTCTCTTTTTGTACATTTATTAGATTCTTCTATGTTGTATACCGACTATTTACTCACAAATTTAAATGTTTGTAGACTCTTCCCTTCATTGACAACGTGTTCTGTTTTCTTTATGAGTTTAATCATAGTGTCAGTTCTAAATTGTCCTTGTGTGTTCCAGTGTAGTTACTTTTGGGATACACTGGGGGTCCATTGACCACCCTTTTTGTAGGCGTTTGTATACCTCAGATTGAGGGGCTGTGGGTTTTGTTGCCCTAGGTCTAGTGCCTCTGTTTTTACCCCTCATAGGAAGACAGAGCTTAGAGTCAGGCCCTAGTCTCTACCTTCTTGAATAAATTTAATAGGGTCAATGTCCCCAGGTACTATTAAACTGAACTACCTTCATTTTCTGCCGGGTCAGAAGGCAGCTGCTGTGTCAAGGGATTCAATGTTATTAGATGCTATACTAGGAGGAGAAAATATCCTTGGGTTTTCATTCCACCATCTCTGGAGATTTAGAGGAGAAAATAAACAGCCAAGAAAGAAAGTCTGCTTAAACCTCATTGCAATAGCACTTTAGCCCAACAGGCACAGGAAGGCCAGGCTAGCCTGGTTTCTGTTCCATGTAGTAATTGTTCCTTTTACACTACCTATCTGTAAGCACACATGCTCATACCTCAGTGCAGGCTTTATGTATGTCCTGTGTATTTTATATGTGTCACTTATAGTATGTTCATGTCTCTGAATTTTTTTTGCATTTGAACAGCAACACATTTTATCACAATTTTCTAATTCGTTTCCCTGTTTACAATAGTCATGTTGCTTTTTTCTAATTTCTATAATAGACTATTCTGTAGAAAGCAAAATTATTCTTGTCCAAAGAACAAGATTGCTATAGTTACTGATTGACAAGTTGCTTCACTTTAGCTGTGGGCTGTTCATGTCAACAGTGGTAGATATACCATGAGCATGTCAGGTGAGTCTAAGCTTTAGAGAGATTTGTTAATAAAATCTGAAGCATGATAATGGTACTGTTTGAGTGAAAGAAAATAGACTATACATATTTATTTTCAAATGGGATTATGGAATGCTGCAGTAGTATGTATTAGGATCTGCACATACACACACACAGGAATGTAAATAAATAGAAGAAAAGTGTTGATTTGCTACGTTACTATTTTATTGTTTGGAACTTTATTTACACAGTGGTACTTAAATTGTTCTGCTAGTTGGATGACTCCACTGTAAATAAAACATGGCTCTCAGAGCAAAAGGTTTTATTGCTTTTCTCAGACCTCTCTGCTAATTGGGTAAACTGACATTTTAATGGCACATCTACTGCTTCTGCATTAATAATTTGAACAACCAACTTCTATGACCAGGCTGCTCTTCACAGCAGAGACCATAGTTATAGGGAAGCATTCACTGGGGAATTAATAACCAAAAGCAAGATGGATTGAATATGCTAATATTTGAATTGTAAGGAGAAGACTTCAGGAAACAAAAAAAAATAGAATAGAAAAAGTGTATAAAGAACTGATTCATTAGAAAGTTACAGAATTTTGGAAAGTAGAGAGATAGTTTAGTTGATAAAGTATTTTCCTTAAAGCACAAGAGATTGATCCTAAGAATCTCATAAAAAGCTAACTGTGCTGTGCTTGGAAGGCCAACACTGGAGAGGTTAAGACGAGCAGAGTCCTGGGTCTTGCTGGCCAGACAGCCTAACTTTCTTGATAAGGCCCAAGCTGGTGAGAGACCCTGCCTCAGAATTAAGTCGGAAGGTGCCTAGGGAACAACACAAGAGATGAAGGTGTCTTCTGGCTTCCACCTGCACCTGCACACGGGGGTGGGAGGGTTGACTAGCAACGTAGGAAACTCCAATCTAGCTCAGTTAATGTTCGAGAAACCACAGAGCACATGCAGATCAATTAGTGAGGATTGAAACGCACAAACTTCAAACCTGAATTTCTATAAATGTGCACAAAAGACTGAAACAAATAAATACAGAATGCACAACTTAAACTGATTCTAAAAAATTTTATTCTGTATCAACTGTAATAAGCTGTAGGTCACAGAAAAAAAATCTCAATACAAAAGTATCCATCACATACAGACCTTATTTTCTGCCCATAATTATGTTCAATGTGGGTTTCAAAACAGTAGTGGCAATTTAAAAATAATTCAAAATTATTTTAAAATATTTTTGAAATAATAAGTATATTTGGAAAGGAGTATAATCAAAGTGCTAAGATTGAAACATCTGGAAATTGAGGTGACTATATATAAACAGCAGTGCATTACAGAAACATGGAAATTCTGTAACTCTAACTGTATGACTATATTGAAATCAAAAAGTAATGAGCAAAGCATAGAAATTAAGTTACATCAAGAGTAGCAGCACATCTAGTGACATGTAAGAGCAGTTAGTAGATATAGGATTTAATATTAAAGGAAAAATAAGAAACATTTCACATTTGAATCCTATCATTCTTTGTAAAAGAAATAGTCATTTTTCATAAACTTATAGAATCTAGGCAAAGAAGAAAAGATCTTTAAGATGTTGGGAGATTGTAAAATACAGATATCAAAACCAATCTAGAACGCTAAATAGGTAAAGTTATCAACTAAGCACTCACATGCATGCCTGTGTACACAAATACCGCCAAATACAGAATACATTTTGACCAAGGAGAGCTTATTCCAGAAATTCCATTCGTAAACAATTTAGAGTGAAAAGCCTAAAGCTGTCTCAGTAGATGATCCAACATCTGCTTATGGGAAAACCTCTTAGCAAAAAAAAAAAAAAAAAGAACTGGCTTTCTTAATGCGATAAAAGGAATTTCCCAGACACACATATCAATTTTAAGATTAAATCTTAGAAACATTCTTTTTGCTACTGATTGAAGACAAGGACTAAAGACTCTGTTGTCACTGCCCCATTTCACTGTGTGTGGGCTCTGAGACAAAATGACAGGTGCAGAGCAGGATACAGGTTCAGCGGGCTGTCCCTGTAGTCTCAGCCTTGGGAGGCAGAGACAGGAGGATCTCAGGGACTTGGTGACCAGCTGCTCTAGCTAACGGATGAGCTTCATGTTTGGTAAGAGATGTGGCCTCAAAAATAAAGGGACACTGAGAAGATTCCTCAGCCACTAAGGATTGGATGGAGAGATGGCTCATTGGTTAAGTCCTTGCTACCTAAGTGTGAGGAACGGAGCGTGTATTCCCAGAACCCAAGTAGATGCTGGATGCCCACAAGGAAACTGGATTTTCCAGACAGTTGGGCAGTTATTCATATGAACTCACAGCAATGGTGAGAGCGTGTATAAGTCCCGGGCAAGCTCAAACCAGACAAAATCCCAGCATAGATGTGGGAAAAGTGGGTGAGAAACCCCAACCTACCTGAGAAACTGTTGGCAAGTTATGACTTCTGGGAAGGGGAGGTTCTGTCTCATTTAGTGTTGAGACTCTCAATAGGTTGACCAGTCTCCAGTGAATAAACTCATGCCAAAAGGGCATTTGGGGGCACAAACCTGACTCTCTCTCTCTCTCTCATATATGTATACATTTGCATATATGTATATTAATTACATATATATTTATGTATATACATATATATTATAATATTTATTAGACTACAGAAATTTGGTGGTACAGATATTAGAGGGGACCTAAATATGATCAAAAATATATTATTGTATGAACTTCAAAAAAAATCAATAAAAAATTAAAAAGGTCCATTATAAAACCAAAGTATAAATTTAAATAGCATTCTTACCTATAATACAAATTGTTAGAAATGCTTTTGATAAAATACTTATGAAACAATAAAAATAAATTTAAGAAAATTGTACAAAACTTGTGGAAAAATAATAAAAGTATGTAGAAATGCATAATGTCATCTGCAATAAACTAGGGACAATTCCATATTCCCTACCTCGAGTCTGAAAAAATATGGGACTGTTTGGAAAAAATTTTTAAAAGACAGTGTAACCTCAGCTATCAGTAATAAAAGAGTCATGTGGAATTATTTTACTGATGATACTAGAGAAATCACTTCACGTTTTTTGAGTAAAACTTTTTTGGGTAAACAGCAGACTATGGATAAACCAGTATCTTATGATGACAAATTTTGACTGTCAATTCGACACACCTGGAAAGAGGAACCTCAGCAGAGGAATTTCCTCTATCAGATTGGCTGGTGGGAATGTCTGTGGGACATTTTCTGAATTCCTAAATGATGTAGGAAGGTCTAGTCCCCTGTGGCTGGTTCTATTCCTAAGCAGGTGGGCCTGGGCTGCATAAGAAAGTTGACTGAATGTGAGCCTGAGAGCAAGCGAGCCAGTAAACAGTGACCTCCTTAGCCTCTGCTTCAGCTCCTGCCTCCAGGTTCCTGACCTGAGTTTCCCTGGATAACAAACTATAATATATAAACTAAAATTAACTCTTTCCTTCCCAAGTTGGTTTTGGTTACTGTTTTATTACAGCAACAAAGAAACCAAAGACACCTCTTAAATTTCCTCTTTTACAGAAATAAGAACTGTCCGTTTGCAAGTTCAGACAGTAACCAAATTCAAGACAGTGACTAATGTAGTTGGTTATCTAAAAGGCTTGACATCTCCAGGTAAGTACTGTTAAACATTTATAATTTATACTTCATATATGAAACCTCACCAAAAATATAGTAATTTAAAGATATAATTGAACTTGCTACTTTAGATGTAACTAGGAGTTCGTACAACCCAAAGAGTTGATTGCTATGAAACCATGAAGCATGTTTCACTTTTCTCTCCTACCCTAGTTCCACAAAAATAAGCTTTATTAGAATGTGTTCAGGGGAGCTGGTAAAGGAGACAACAGAAGAGATTTGTTAAACTGGTGCTGGCTTAAGAAGGCAATGTCCTTTTTATTTTATTCACCTGGAAACCATAGACATTTTTCCTTTCATGAAGAAAATCATCTTAAAGGAAGTATAATAGTTTTTAATGATATGGTTTTGAAAAACAGGTTGAAAGTTTTTGTCACCAAACAGAACATCCCATGTCATCATGCTTTTAGATTGTAAAGATCTTTATAAAAATGATCACCTGTGGAATACACAAAAATTCAATAAAGAATTTTTAAAAACAATTATAAAAAAGAATTGAAAGAATCTTAGAGTAAAAGAAAAGTCATCATCTGGTTAGAATTTTTTTTATTCTACTTTTTATTTATTTATTTTTACTTTATATTCATGAGTGTTTTGCATGCATGTATATAGATGCACCACTTGATTTCAGTGCCTATGGAGGCCAGAAAATGTTGTCAGATCCCCTCGAATTGGAGTTACAGATGGTTGTTAGCCACTCTGTGGGCGCTGGGAACGGAATGCTGATCCTCTGCAAGAGCAGCCAGTGCTCTTAACTGTGAGCCATCTGTCCAGTTCCCGTGGTTAGATTTTACACTTTATTATGGACTGCTGATAGAGTCGTCAGTCCCTATTGCTTAGGGTAAAAAATAAAAAATAAAAGTAATTGACAAGAGCTGACTGTGGTGGCACAGCCCTTTAAACACGAAACTTAACTTGGGAGGCAGAGGCAGGTACATCTTTGTGAGATGGAAGCCAGCCTGGTCTACATAGTGAGTTCCAGGCCAGTCTAGCTATAGGGAGAGTCTCAAAAAGATCAAAATAAATAGTAAAATGGTTGACAGTATTTTACTTAAGAGACTATGGAACTATACCCAAACTTGTCGTAAGACTCAGTCACAGGTGAGCATTGAATGGGCCTGTTAACAGAGGTTTTTGCTTTTTTTTTTTGCGTGTGTGTGTGTGTGTGTATGTATGTTCATGTGTGCACATGTGTGCACATGTGCTTTAGTGACATATAGAAGTCAGTGAACAACATTTAGGACTCTGTTCTCTGCCTCCACTGCAAGCTCTAGGGACTGAACTCGGGTTGTCAGGCCAGTGCTTTACCCATGATGCCATCCCACCCGCACCAGAGTAAAATAGTCCTTTATCACATTCACACTGCTTCTGAGGCTGTGACTGGGACACTAAATCAATTTCTCCTCAGAAGTATTCTTCGCCTTGGTGTTAGTTAAATTGACCTAATTGCTGACCCAAATAATTTTTCCATTTCTTACCAACCAACTCTTAAAATTTTCAGGGGAGGAATTTATTCTCCCCAACGTCCTCATCCTGGAGACTCTCGTCACAGTGTCCTTAAACCCAAATAGAAATGAACATGGAAACCTTTACAGTTGTATTTCAACCATTTCAATGAGTTTCTGTTGTAAGTCTCTCTAACTAAAGTCTAGAATATTTACCATCGCTTTCCTGTTTGGAATTCATTACAGAAAAGTACAGTTGTCCAAAAATTATCATGGATTTATAGTAAAAGAAATTAATCTACTAAGAGGTGATCTTTTAAAATTGGTGTTATCATTTGTGTTCTTTCAGTATCTTGTATGCAAAATTCCTCAAATTTTGCATATTTTGAATGTTATGTTAAAAACACGTTGCTTATTCAGATGATATTCTTAACCACTGAAAATCAGAAGCAATCATGGATTAGTGTTAACTCATTCAGGTCACAGGTGATCTCAAGCAGAAGTCTCAGACATGTCTGGGAGATGAGTGAAAAAATGTCCAGGTGTTTTATGTTTGCAGACCCTATATCCCATTAGCTAAATCTTAGTAACACATTGAGAGATCAAATGCACTGCTGGCTACAATTCAGTTTTGAAAGCGTAAATGATTTTATACTGTGATATTTACACAGGTTTTTTTTTGGGGGGGGGGCAATGAAATCAAGGAGTGATTCATTTATTCCAGGAAGACTTAGGACTCACTCTGTGTCAGATACTGTTCAAAGTACCTTACAAATAGTTCCCTACTTAAAACAACTGAATCCTGCATACATTTTGTTGTCTTGCGCAGTGTAGTTGAAGATACTAAGGCACAGAGAAGTCACACAGCATCCCGTGATTACACAACCAGTGGGTTGTTTAGTCTGGATCCCATTTTATACCATTTTCAGTTATTTACTTTCTATGCATGGAAGAGGACATTTGCTCCAGGACACATGTGTATGTTGGAGAAAAACTTGGGGGAGTCAGTTCTCTCCTACCACATGGGTTCCAGCAATCAGACCCTGGTCACCAGGGCTGGCCAGAGAAGCTTCTTGCCAACCTCAGTCCCTGCAGCATCGCATAGTAACATGATGATCAGAATGTTTTTCATTGATGCATAAGGACCCTTGGTCAAATAAATTGAGCCCTGTTATTAGTATGAATGACATGCACTGACAACAAAATCAGAGGGACTCAGGAGGTCTATTTTTAACTTATTTTATTACTGATAATAATTAGTGACACACACTGAAAGGGTCATATCTGTGTACCACAGCAAGCTATCTAAGGAAGTAGCAGATGGATTCTGGGTGACCACATGAAGTAAAATATGTGATGAGTTAAATTTTACAGTGCTTAATGACCTGATGGTGCTGAATTATTTTTCAGAGGACAGAGAATGGTAAAAACTGTAAGTTCAAATTGTAACTGAATCTCTAAATGCAATGTTGTCTTAATATTTATAGCTCCTGCATTGCTCTCCTCAGATGTACCAGCAATTCGTTAATCTTCACTGAGCTTGCACACATTGTTTACAGGGCACTTCCCACCACAATGCTGGAAAAACATTAGATAAGAGTTTCACTGTGGCGTATTTGTATACTTCATTAATTAATACTTACATGCAAAGGACAGTAATATGATCTAAGCTCTGAATTCATAATTGGCTTCAGCAGCTGTGTCTGCTTTGATATGTACAAGTGTATGAATCAAGGTGGGGCATGGGAAATGATAAAGCATATTAATTATTAGAACAATTTGGCTTAATTGTTGCTTATTTGTGCAATAGGATTATGTAAATGTCATTAAATTTATTGTTGAGGTTTACATTTCGTTCTAATTGGCTTGTTCCCTCCTCTTTCCAGACCGGTACGTTATAGTCGGCAGCCAGCACCAGGATGGGTTCAGTTATAATGGACAAGAGTGGGCCAGTGGTACAGCAATCATCTCAGCCTTTATCCGAGCCATGATGTTGAGAGTGAAGAGAGGATGGAGACCAGACCGTACTATCGTTTTCTGCTCATGGGGAGGAACAACTTTGGGGAATATTGGCTCATATGAATGGGCAGAGGTAAAAGAAATATGTTTAATTACAGTAATTTTCTATCAGGTTTTTTTTAAATTTTACTTTCCAGAGTATACAATGCAATATTATTGAAGGCAAAGAAAATTATGGACTCCTGAAAAGGGCTTCCCATCTGCTAATTGCTGAGGTTACTCCTAACTGTCTTTGTTACAAGGGAATTAGTGGTAATGAGAGTTGAGTCAGAGCGGGTTGGGTATGATCCGAACCTGAATTATTCCTTGTGCTATGTTGATGTGCACACCCTTGTGTCACTCACAGTACTGTTTACTATGTCACTGACCCTTTTTTAGAGGATAGTGTGATAGACAGTAGAAAAACCTGGGACTGGAGAGATGGCTCACCGGTTAAGAGCACTGGCTACTCTTGCAGAAAACCTGGGTTCAAATTCCAATACCCACATAGTGGCTAACAACCATCCACGATTCCAGTTCCAGGGGATCAGACACCCTCTTCTGTCTTCCTCAGGTACTGCATGACATGGGTGCACTTATATACACATATAGGCATAATGCTCATACACATAAAAAATAAAAAAAAATTTTTTAAAAAAAGAAAGGACCTGTTTACACACACCATTTGGGGGGAAAAAATAAACACATCTAAGAAGTCCATGATTTATTTGGAGTTAAGAACGAATCTTCTGAGCTAGGCCTGGCGGCACATGCCTTCAATCCTAGCACTTAGAAGGCAGAGGAATTCTGACATCTGTGAGATCGAGGCCAGTCTCAACATTGTAATAAGTTCCAGGCCAGCTGGGCCTACAGGGAGATCCTGTCTAAAAAAGGAACCACAAGAAAAAGCTTCTATGTGAAGGCTAATTAGAATGGCATTATATTTTATCTGTGGAAAAGGGAAATTGCATCAAATAACAGCTGCCTCCCTAGGTTTCTTTCCTCCACCCCACCGACTCCTCTTTCTCCTCCTGCTTACCACTGACCATTAGGAGTTCAGGTGGAATCACAATACTTGAGTCTGAAAGCTGAGATATGTGTGAGTGTCAGAGACACACAGTATTTTAGTATAGCTTAGCAATGGTTAATTAAATGAGGCCGTATTCAAAACATCGTGAGTACCATAATACTCACACATGTTTTTACTTATCTTTATGTGTTTTTTATAAAATAAGATTCAATGAGTATATTCAGACAAAAAAAAATCTATGTGCTTCTAGAAAGAAGTCATTTGGTATTCCAGTTTGTTTGCTATTTAGCTTTGGGGAGAAATCTATTAAATGGAACATTATGGTTAGAAATCTTGTTACCACAAAAAGTGAAATGTCTGTGGGTATCAAAGAAAATATCAATAATGTTCAGAAAAGAAAATAGCAAGTATTTTTTTTTAATTTGAGAGAACAAAAACCTTAAACGTGAGAAAATGTTTATGTTGCAAGTTCAGCAAGATTTACAAAGTTTAGAGGGAGCAGTTTAGTGTCTGCACATGAGGGAAGAGAAGGTTCCACTTCAAAGAATGAAGGAATCACTTCATTCTTTGAAGAAGAAGAAAGTCCATTGCTTCCTTACTTGTTTTTAATTAACAAATTTTCAAAATGGCAAATAGTAGTAGCCTCCGAACCAACACTTTAAAGTTCTATTTAAAATTGTTCACTTTCAAGATTAGTAAAACATTTTAAAAACAGCATTATGACTGTTCATGGATCTGGATTATTTTAAGTAATTCTAAGGTAATAAAATGGTGATTCAATTTTAAGCAAATATTAAACAAATGTCTTCAGGAATATTTTAAACATATTTCATTATGAATAACTGAATAGCTCATAACTTTTAAAATGTTTACGTTAATCTTAAATTAATAAGCATATTTATGAGCCACATTTTCAAAATAGGTTTGTCTCACAAATTGTCGAAGTTAAATACCTTAAACCTAAATTGATAGGGAATTATATTGCATAAATTTCTTGGGTTTATTTAAATATCAGTCATCCTAGGCTGAAAGTTAAATACATATGGATTTACATGTACGTGAGCAATTATTTCTTCAAACTAGGTAAATGTTTTGTGCTTAATAAAACATAAATTCACTTTTTAAGTTTTGTTCTTTTGATATGTAATTATTCAACAATCAGAGACTAAGTATAAAAAGTTTTGTGATATATGAATCCAAGAGGATAGAAAAATTACTTGTAATTAGAAAGATTAAGGCAGTTTTGGTGGTGACAACAGTAGGTTGCGTTGAAGGGGGTGGCAGGAGAATCATGAGTTCTGGGTCAGCCTGGGCTACACCTTTGGCCAAGCAAGATTGTGCATGCTTTTCATTCCAACACTCAGGAGTCAGACGCAGGTGGATCTCTGTGATAGCAATATATACATTTCAAAGTAGCTGAGCAAATCCGCACATTTAGCTGTCTTCTGGCTTTTTAGATGAGTGAGTGGACAAAGAAATAAGTGATCAAAATGGTGAACAAAGTGCAGATTTCACTATTGGCTGGTAAAATGTGTCTGTAACTGTCTGCGTAGCGGAAGTTCTATTTCAAACCAACCCAATTGAAGGGACGTTTAGAGGACCTTAGTTACCCTGTTGTATTTACTCCTGTTGAATATGTCTTCTGAGAATGCAGCATTTCATTTTATGGTGAATCCCTACTGGAGGTGAGTGACTGTTGATTTGCCGTGTTGCCTGGCATAGTTTTGCCTGCATAGAAACAGGATTAGGTGGTCAGTAAACTTACAAATGGGATATGAAGCGATGAGACTATTGCTGAATTGACTCCTGACTGATAATGGTTCCTTGAAGAAAGTTATGACATTTCCTCAAACAGGTTCTTTAAAATTACCATCCCTTCTACAGAGTATTGTTCATCTCCTACTGTGGGAGCACTACATTAAAGAAAGCCAAATCCTTTCTACCCTAAATGTGTTATTTTAGCACAGTTGACATCTCTGAGATTGGAGTAGTCTCTGTCTTGTGAGATTCCAATGAGAATCGCATGAATGGTTTGTGTTTTGTTTTGTTTTGTTTTTAAATGTAATAACACAATTTTGAACAATGTAATGGGCAGTGATGCTCGTTTAAAGGGTGGAACTTATGTTCATTTAAAATATATTACTTTCAAATCCTTCCCTATCTCTCTCATGGAGATGCAGATAAATTTTCAACATTAAACACTGATAAGATTATTGATAAGCTAAGGACTAGGACCTTGTAGTTTTTCTCCTCCCAATATTTCCTCTGTGATCTCCAATATCCAGGGTTTGGTCAGAAATACAAAACCATACTGCTGAGCCATTTTATGTTAATGGATTATATGACTCTCATGAGGTATTTGTAAGATAATATTTTCAGGTTCAGAATTTTTATTTGTCACATTTACTCCAGAATAAAGACTTAATTTGTACAAAAATAGCAAACTTCTTTAGAGGAAAGGACTTACACTAAGTTCAACAATGAAGTTGAACAATGTCTGTGCTCTAACTCAGTGAACATAAAATTAGATACTATCTTTGAAGAAAATATCAATTTTGTAGGTGAACTCCATGTTATGCTAACCTTTTAAGCCTTTTTCTTTGCAATGTGACTTCCATCACAAATGTATTTTATCATATGTTAGATCTAATCCTCTGCCATTCATATGTAAAATCCTTCTGTAACTTTGCTTTATTCTGTTCAGCAGTATGGAATTGCTTTTACAATAATACTTATACAAAGTAATAATCTTAAGTTCAAAATGCTTATTATTCAATATTTAATAAAGAAAAATGCTATTTCTAATTACATTAATAATAGGGTTTTTTTTTTTTCAGGATTTCACGAAGGTTCTACAAAAAAATGCTGTGGCTTACATCAGCCTCCACAGCCCCATCCGGGGCAACTCCAGTCTGTACCCTGTAGCATCACCATCCCTCCAGCAACTGGTAACAGAGGTAAGAGAGGCCTTCTGTCTAGGAAATAATTAGACAAGACTGCATTTTCTTCTATAACTTAACACTTTTTTTTTCCTCTTAAGTATTCATAAAATGATCTATAAGCATGTTAAATAATACATTGGTTTGCTTATTTGGCTGAGCAGTTGGTTTTCCTGAAACAGAGTCTCCCAGTGTGGTTCTGAGGGGCCTGGCGCTCACTTGGCAGACCAGGCTGGTGTCTAACTTGTGGTGATCCTCCTGCCTCTGCCTCCAAGTGCTGAGTCAGCAGATGTGCCCCCACGCCCAGCTGGTTTTATTGCTCACTGTTCCTTAAACTAAATGACCGTGTTCTGGACTTCTTCACCTGGTACTCTTTTATGGCCGTGTTTGTAAGAAATTGTGAATTACTCTGCTATGGAGGAAGTAAAACTTAAATATATTTTAAAGTTTAACTTTTTAGCTCTTATATTCCTAAATCTGTAGTTGTGCCATTTCTGTGATAAACTTGGTAACTCGCATTTTTTTTTTTGCCCTGGTTCATGTTTTAATAAATTTGGGGACCTATTCTATCTTTTTTTTTTTTACTGTATTGTAAGCATCCCCAAGGGCAATGGGACAGAGATAAATAACTTCAAAGTATTTAGAAAGTATCAAGTCGGATTTGGCAGCACATGTCTATAATCCCAACACTTTAGAGACTGGGGCAGGGTTCTGAGTTTGTAGCTAAACCAGACTACATAATGAGAATTTGAAAAGCAAACAAAATTACAGAAATTTTCATCAACATTTATGGAATAATAAACATTTATTTTTTCAACAGTGACATAAAATTAGTCTCATCACTCGTTTACTTTTTAATGTAATCACTTCTCCCATAGTTCAAAAAATGTAGCAGATTGTTTTTTCTTTTTTCTGAGCTGAACTCACACTTTTAGTTTCACACTTTTATTTTAATGTTCTTACAACTTTCACTACATGTAGTTATCTGTGCTCTTTCTCATTATGAAGACAAGCATGCTGTCTCTGGGCGGAATTTCCGCCCAGCACCACTGTCCTGGCATGGTCTTTGAGACTCCCACCAGTCTTCCAGTGAGTTCCACGACAACTGAACTAGAAAGAAAGATAACAAATAGTACATGGAATTACCCATAATTCTTGATCAAAATGTAATACAAACTAACATTTTATGACTTTCATAAAATATTTTCTAGTTTGATAGTTGTCCTTGACATTTCCATATGTAATGCAATAAAAAAGGACATTGAAGAAGAGGAAGTGGATAAATCTGTACGTGTGAGATGACCAAACCCTGGTGTCCATGCCCTGAATTGTATCCAGATTCTGCAAAGCCATTTTCCCTCTCTGTGTATTTCCTTGGATTCTCTGACTTATTTAGTGAAGTTAACTGCACATATCTCCCTTGGAAGTTCAGGTATTTAGAAAAAGTGCCCAGATGCTTTATGGATGTGCGGTTTTGTTTGCTTGCTTGTAGGTTTTGTGGCACAAGGGAGTGAATCCCAGACATTGCACAGCCCTAGGGTTGGATCAAGCAAGAGTCTTTTCCTTTTCATTTTTAAATTTTATTTTTCAAATGCTTTTAAAATTTTTTTATTAGTTCTTTGAGAACTTCATATATGTCTAAAATGTATTTTGGTCATATCTGTCTACTAACTCTTCCCCAACTTTTTCTAGACCCTCTCCCACCCTCCCCCACCCTCCATATCACATCCTTAATTTTTTTTGCTTTTTAAAAATTTATTTAATAACCACATGATTAGAAAAAGCATTTCATTACAGCTTTAACATATTCAATAACAATTTCTAGAGCAATGATACATCTTTCAAAAGTGCCTGTAAATTTTTACATTCACAGTTGAATTAATACAGTTATACAATATTGAACTCAGTATAAACCCTGTAAAACATAAAATTAAATGAGTTTTTAGCCTTTCAAAATGATCTCCATTTCATTTTAAAATATACTGTTTCCTACAGAAAGACTCATTTTTTAATGCTACTAACACTTAGATGTTTGTACATGCGTCTCTAATCTCTCTGTATCTGATTATTACTAGTCAAAGTTGATTACATTGGGATCCTTGGCACCTGAGTATGGCTATAAAGTCATCAGGTAGATTTCAATGGTAATGTTTATCACGTCTACTAATTAACGTGAAGTTAATTTTTATGTTTCCTCCTCAATTATAATTCATTTTTTAAATTTGTTGGGGTTTTTTTGTGTGTATAACATACAGAACATCCCAAAGAATCTTATTCATCTATATACCTACATCGTAAATAGCACCGTCCCCTAGCCTCCCCCCTCACTGGAGCCCATATACTGTCATCCCTGTTACTGTCCACTGTGATGTCAGTGCCCCCAGCCATTCCCAGGTGCTTGTCCATCTGCTGAATCTAGTCAGCCTATCTAGAGTTCCTTATTTTAGGAAGATCAGCTGTTCCTCATCTAGCAGCTGTTGTCAATATTCCTTTAGATAAGATTGGGGTCTGCTGTTCATTTTTTAAAAACCCACCTAGTACAGTTGTGTTGTCCGTATCCCCATGGGTGTGGGGCCGTTCCCTGGAGCACGTTCATCCTTCCCAGGGACCACAGCATTAAAGGAAACTGACTCTCCCTCCCCAGCAGTCATCAGCTTTCAGTAGTTCTTCAGCTAGGGCTGGAGCTGGTGAGCCACTCTCTCCTGTGCTGGAGTATTGATGGCCTGGTTGTGTCCAGGTCTTATGCAGGAGACCGCAGCTGCTGCGAGTTAGTGAGTATGGTGGTCCTGTCTTGTCTAGAAGATGCTATTTTATACTGATCCTCCCTGACTTCTGGCTCTTACAATCTTTCTACCTTTTCCTCTCTGATGGCCTCTCAGACTTAGGGAGAGAAGTTGTAATATAGATATAGATGTCCCATCTGTTACTGAGCTTTCTTCTCTGCCCTTTGATCTGTTGTGAGTTTCTGTATTAATATTACTTCAAACAATACGGTAGGGAAGGAGACAGAGTAAACTGAATGTGTTAAATACATACATGACATTGTCAAAGAACACCTTTAATCAATAAAACAAAAATACACTTTTTTATATCTCTGAACATTTTTATATTTATTATTTTTAATTTTAATATATGTGTATGAGTATATTGCCTGCATGTATGGAAGTGCACCTATGTCATGCAAAGCTCACAGAGGTCAAAAGAGGGCATCTTGTCTCCTGGGACTGGTGTTAGGGTGGCTGTTAGCCACCATGTGGGTGCTGGGAATCAAACCCAAGTCCTCTGGAAGAGCAGTCAGTGTTCTTAACCACCACGCAATCTCTCCATCCTATATCTCTGAACATTTTTAAAAGAGAAACTGTAAGGCATTTTGGTGCGTGTTCCATCTGTATGGGGGAAGCACGGGGTGTAAATAGTGAATGCCTCCTGGCAAGATCCTGTTCTTTATTGAGGACAGAAACATTTTTGGTTGCACCCTCAAAAATGTTTATATACTAACTTGAGATTTAAAAATGAGCTGGAACACATATTGAAAGGAAACTGATTGCTTTGAGTTCAGTTAGCAGGTAGTGAGAGGAGGCAGAGGGAAATATAGTAACTAAAAAACAAACCTGAAAAATACACATTTCTTGATAGTCAAGAAAAATATTTTATTTTTGTATGACACTGATAATGACAAATTAATGTATGTGCCAAAATAGCAATAGTTTGTTAATGAGAAGTTGAATGAAAACCAGAGGCAAGAACTAAGGCTTTTATTCAACTCACTCTTTCTGACATTTGTTCCGTTACGTCAAACAGGATTCATTTCCTTGGGTACTACTAACACTTTCCACAGCACCAAAAAAAAAAGAGAAAAGAAAAAAGAAAAAAATCATTTAAATTGTTGTCAGTATTAGACTTGAAAAGCTCAGTCCAAAACCTCAGATATGAGTATTGATATTTTTGAATTCTCAAAAATTTTAAGAAATTAATGATTATTTTCAAATCATAAATCATCTCTCCTTTGTGTATCTGAGAATATTAACTGCTGCAATGTACTAGACAGAATTACAGTGAAACAACTTTATTTTCTTATGATAGAGCTGTGAATGTGTGTGTTATACACATCCAGTGAGTATGCAGTTACGTAAAACAAAAGCAAAATGCACTGAAATATTTAAAAGCTGATACCTGTGTGAAATAAAAGAACAGTTGTGAATTTCCCAAATCTGGCTCCTGGTAGGTGGGCTTTAGAACTTGGTGTTTGTTTTTAGTCTTCAGTTAAAAGGATGGCTGCTGTGCTGGCTCAGGGTATTGGCAGATGGCCCTGCTGTTCATCTGCACATGGATTGCTTTGTCATGGGCAGGCAGATGATAACTCCAACAGATCAGGTGAGGCATTTCAAAAGCAGTTTTACTAGCTATGTTCCCACCATCAAATTCTGAGTAGTTGTTCCAGGTCATCCCCAACACTGGGGACAGAGCATCTTGGAATTTTCAATTAAATTTAAAAAATGATTCATGCAATTGAACATCTTGAATTTTTATGGAAATCTTTCTAAACTGCTTTATTGCTCGGCACTTTCTTCTACATAACGTAATTAGTGCACTGCTAATATGAAGGACCGTCTTCCATTCTCTGCCAACAAATGTAGGTATGCATGCTCACTGTCACTACATATATATGCATTTGTATGTATGTGTGTGAGTGTGCATATATATGGACATAAAGGACATATATACTGGCACTTTCTTCTACATAACATAATTAGTGCACTGCTAATATGAAGGACCATCTTCCATTCTCTGCCAACAAACGTAGGTATGCATGCTCACCGTCACTACATATATATGCATCTGTATGTATGTGTGTGAGTGTGCATATATATGGACATAAAGGACATATATACATACATATCTACAGACACAGTGATCATACACACACACACACACACACACACTCACAGTCACACACACACACTGTCCTCTGCTGTGCTCTACTAGAGACTGTGTAGTGTTCTGAGAGAATTGTTGAA